CCGCTCCTCCCCCCCCCCCGCTCCTCTACAAAGTCACGACGAGGGTTTATGATAGTATCGTGAACGACGAGGTTTGAATTTGTACATGATGGTAGCAGTTACTAGTATATTACCAACTACTGAAGAAGAAGAAACCAAGCTGGGACGCTGAGCCCGCTTCCCCGCAGTGCAGCTCCGTACCAATAGACTGGAGCCATCATAGGAGGACGCCCACAGCGGGTGGGTGCTCATATCACCTTCCTGCTGTGCACTCTCCGTCTATAGATGTTACAAACAGAAAAAAGGGAAAAACAAAAACAACCGAGACATTACCGAAGAAGAAACTACCGTGGTAACTCAGCACGATGCAGTATTCAGTTACTATTCACCACGACAGACAGCTGCTCTAAAGTTTCCTACGGTGTCGTGGTGCTACGGTAGGTTCCTAAGAATCCTAACTACACAGCGGCAGCATCTTTCCGCCCGCCTTGACAAGGTAGCAAGACCTATTTTGTTTACTCTATAACAAAACTACATAACGACTCTCCTGAGTCTCCTCGTCTACCTTGATTCCTGAATTCCCGAACCTTGAAACTCAAGCCTACAGTTTGAAAACTAGAAGCCTACCGTTTGAAAACTCAAGCATACAGTTTGAAAACTCAAGCCTACAGTTTGAAAACTCAAGCCTCCAAAAAAAAAAAAAAAAAAAAAAAAAAACCTCAAGCGTACAGCAGTTTGAAAACTCAAGCCTACAGTTTGAAAACTCAAGCCTACAGCAGTTTGAAAAAAAACTCAAGCCTACAGCAGTTTGAAAACTCAAGCCTACCCAAACAGACGGTTGCTTTCGTTGCCACAACTTGTCAGCTATTCAAATAATTCAATTCCCTATCCCATCGCCTCCAGCAGTGCTCGACTGCAAAGGAGGTCTGACTCAGCAGATGTTACACTACCAGGGCCGCGCGTCCGAGCATCGGAAGTGGACACTCCCTTCCGGAAACACTTCCATTAAAGTACCTTGAACGTAGACCGCAAAAGCCACAACCTGAACTCCGCCTCGGCGGGTTCGATACAAATTGTTAGTCTCTTGCTTTCTCCCTCCATGTCCCATTCGCTCCAGCTTGCGGATCATTAAATGGCTTGAAGAAAAGAGCGGAAAACGATTGATATGTAGTAATCGATGCAATGGCTAACGATACCTTGTCACCTTGATGAATAATCTTTCAGCGTTCGACAGATTGGAGCCTAATCCACACGTTCGATCGCCACTAGATGTGATTTCCTTCAGCTAATTAGAATCTGATGTGCTTTCCTTCAGCTAATTATAATCTGATGTGATTTCCTTCAGCTACTTGAAAGAATCTGATGTGATTTCCTTCAGCTACTTGGGAATCTGATGTGATTTCCTTCAGCTACTTGAAAGAATCTGATGTGATTTCCTTCAGCTACTTGAAAGAATCTGATGTGATTTCCTTCAGCTACTTGGAATCTGATGTGATTTCCTCTTATCTTAGCTACTCAGATGGTTCAGTTCGGTAATAGCGATAAGAATATAGGCTTTTTCACAAGACAAGCAGAGCCATCTTCAATGCTTCATCAAGTACTACAAGTAGTATCAACTCAATCGAAAAAAAAAGGACCAGGACTTGGCTCACATCCGAAAAGTTCTCTTATACACATCTAGATGTGTATAAGAGACAGGACGAAGACAGTGAACGAAGAGAGGGACGGACAGCTGCAGAAGGCGAACGCACGCAGAAACCTCTGTGCCAAAAGTAGCCGATAGAAGAGCACCAGATCACCCTCCATTTCTCACAAGGATAAGGAGCGGCAGCCACAATTGCCACATCCCCAATCTCTCTCTCTCTCTCTCTCTCTCTCTCTCTCTCTCTCTCTCTCTCTCTCTCTCTCTCCCTCTCCCTCCCTCTCTCTCTCTCTCTCTCTCTCTCTCTCTCTCTCTCTCTCTCTCTCTCTCTCTCTCTCTCTCTCTCTCTCTCTCTCTCTCTCTCGCTCCGCCTGAGTAGATGCGCTGGGATCCGCATCACCTACTGCCCTCATGATAAGGAATCAGCTGCCAATGTTCACTATTGCTTGGTCCACAGATTGGTCACGGAGGTGCGGTACCCGTACATCCTGAGATGGACGTATCACTTCCCCCACTCCATTACCGAACGAGTAATGAATGGCCAGCGGCATTGCTGCACTGCATGTCAACCCAGCGGTTGAGGCCAGACACGTCGAGAATTCATTAAGTATTTTCTTCTCTGACTAGTCACGCAGAGTAGACAGACCGCTCCAGCACGCTGAACCTTACCAGCACTACACGATGGCGATGGCGTGAAGTCCCAGAGCACGTGACTTTTAAGTTTTCGTTTGCGACTGACCTCTCCTCCAGAGTCCAGACCATTAACGGCGACCGACTACTATGAGATCCGCGACCAGGATGTAATGAGGATGCCCGTTCATGACATGAATGACTATCTAAAACAGTAAAACCACAGAGTCCCAGATTCGACCCGATAGCACCCAACTAAACATCAACACGAATCGCACGATCATGCCCGTCCAGGTTCATTCAACACACCATCCTCCCCCTCCGTGCAACACTTTCGAGTCCCGACCAGGCGCCTCCCTCCAACCAGCTGAGGGAGGTCGAGCAAATATCGAGACCGAGAGTATGAGATCGTACCACAGCTCTCGGTAGTATTCACTGACGCAAACCGTTGCTGGGTAGATTCCGCTACGCTCCGTTACGCTCCGTTACGCTCCGCTCGATTTGGGGTGCGCTACCTCATCTCATCTCTTCTGAGCCCCGGGATGGGCCCTGGATGATGGCGCCGGGATGTCTCCTGTCTCATAGCGCTTACCCAGAGAGCCGACGGACAGCACGCAAGAAGAGAATGAGTGAGTGGTGTCAGCCACTGTCAGGCTCTGTCAGGCTCTGTCAGCAGCAAAAGAACCGCGAAGGCTGAGGAAACTAAGAATGGTCGATGGACGAACATCTACGGCTTCCTCGATCATCGAGAGGCGACGGCTTCCGCGACATGACAAGCTCGACAAGAGATATGATCATATATTCGCTCCTTATCCTACCCGACCCGATGGTTCTTCACTACATCAATGAACGTCTATTATGAGTGGTTCCACTCATTTGTCGCACCTTATCGACACCTTATCGCACACCTTTGCGCACCAGGTCAGGCCAATCTCTATCTGATCCGAGTGTTTGAACCAGCTCTCGCTCTATCCGGCCAAAACACCTGAAACGGCAAAGAGGCGCCATTCCCATCCTCTCCCCGCCTTCAGACCAATAGGTCGAATCGGCCCACAACCGTTCGATCGATTCCATCTCTCTGAGTCGAATCGGCCAAATCGTTGTCGACAGCGTCACAGCGGCAAAACAGGATCAAGCGGATTCGCCTGATCAGGCCGACCTCACGAGTCACGACGTACTCCACAACCATGCCGGGGCTAAGGTGAAACCACCAGACAAGTTTAAGTACACAGCAATCCTTCGTGACCGGCGGGGAGATAAAATCTACTTGCTGCCGATCGACAGCAAGCAGCCCCCGAAGGGGATCGGTCCTTCGGAGAACTATATCCCCCATTAAGCCCGGACTAGTTGATTCCGAATGTTGATATACAATCACCGATGATGGGATCGACGTCAATTGAAGAAGGGATGACCGATCCACTCAGAGACGGACACGAAAGAGAGACTCTGAGAGAGGACCACGTGTCCTCATCAGAGAGAAGGAGACGCAGAAGAGGAAGACACTGGAGTACCTATGACGAGACCCAACGACTATTGGCTGTAACCCCGCGATGCGGATTACGAAGCGGCATGCTGACGAGGATTCTTCGGATGACAAATGATTGGTGCGATCACCATCATGATTGCATCTTCCCATTAATCACGAAAGCGACTTCCTCCTCTCCCTCCTCGATAAGCAGGAGACGACATCCAATTCCAATTCCAATTCCAGCTAACTGAATCGGAGCCGCAGTAGCGCCAACAAGTCCTCTTGCCCGCAGCTGAGGATCATATCTTCCGTCAGCGCCCAGTCGCCCGAATAGAGCCTAGCGACGGCCTCGACAAGCTCGCCCCTTTCCGCCTCGGAGAGCATGTATCCCTCCTTCCGAGCGCACTCCTCAAGGAGAGGCAGATAGCCTATCCTTGCTTGCAATTGCAAAGGAAGATCTCTGACGCGCAGCTTGGAACTTCCCCGCTTGATGACTCGTGTCAGATTCACATGATGTTGCGCCCCCCTCGCTCGGGCCGTGTCGAACGCAGCTGCTGACCATTCTCGCTGAAACACCTCCCTGATTTCTCCGATCATCTGGTCTTCATCTAACGCCTGCTGTACAGCTCGCCGGGTGGCTCTCTCATCTCCCATGAAGTTCAATCGCAGGAGCAAGCACACGCCCTCCGCTGCTCCCCTGCCACAAACTGCCTCACTCTCGTTGCCGCAAGAATCCTCCACGCTCAAGCTCTCTTCGACCTCGCCCGAGCACTCTCGCTTCCTTGTCTGCTGATCGATAGATACCAAGCTACCGCTACTGGTAGCCGCTTCCCCACTGCCGGTATCGACTTCAGCGCTACCGGTAGCAGCTTCGCCGTCCTGCTCCAGCTTCTGCCGCTTCCATACCTGGGTGGTGTCATCGCCCCCCGTTGAGACCTCCGCATGATGTCCTGAACACGTGCGCGACACCATGCTGCCGTTCAACCCCATAGTGAGTCGGTCATCCTCCAGCGCAGCAGGTGGATGACGGACATTCCCGGCTTCGGCATGCCTCCTAGTCTGAGGAAAGCCAGGAACGGTTACCCCTGAAGGCTCCTCATGATCTCCTTCCATAGTATGATTCGAGTGAGGCCACACAGCGGCCGTCACTGCTGAAGAATCGCCGACGCTGTCCCGCCTGCCGCCGGAAGACGGAGCCTCGCTTTGTTGCTTCTTCCTCTTCGCAGTCCTACCCCAATCCCAAAACCCATCACCTACAACTTCTTTTTCTCTTTCCCTCCTCCTCCTCCTCCTCCTCCTACCCCGACTTCTCCTCTCATTCATTGCGCTCCAGAACTCTTCCATGTGGACCTTGAGCTCGCCTTGTCCCTTCACCGCCTCCTTGAAGACAATGAGCATCTTCTCATCGTCCACGGCGCGCAAAACGTCGACGAGGCAGCGCACGACATCCAAGTGCCCGCAGGTCACAGCACTGAGCAGAGAGGCGTACAAGAAATGAGGCAGACTGCCATTCTCCACAGCGAACTGCACAGCCTCCAGCCACCCCCGGAGAGCCGCAACTACAATAAACCCTGAGTGCAAACTGGCCCCTCCCTCCTGCACAAGGCACCGAATGATGCCGATGTTGCACCGAGGGGCCCGGGCAGCGGCATGGAGAGCTCTCGTGGCATACTGTTTGGCCGCCGACGGCTGAAGCAAGAGCCGCACCAGATCCACGTGATCGTACTCGAAGTGATGGCACACTACCTCGGTCAGCACATAGCCCGCATTCTGAGCACCGGCATCAATCAGCGCCCGACACAACTCCAATACAAATTTCGGGAACTCCGGAAGCATCACATCCTCGTCCGACTCGCAGAACTGCGCCTCATCCCCCTCCTCCTCCTCCTCCTCCTCCTCCTCCTCCTCCTCCCCCTCCTCTTGCTCTGCATCATAGATATAGCTGCTGTAGACGCTACAATTATCATCCGTGGCCTCGTTGCCACACCCTTGCTGGAGCGAGGGAAGGCTGTCGTGATCCTCCCTCGCCTGTTTCTTCCAGTCCCGCTCTTGGCTGCGCACATCCTCCTCTTCAAGCCGGTCTTGCCCCCACCTTCCCCTCAAGGCATCGTTGTCAGCAGCTCCTCCACGCCTCTTCAGTGTCTTCACGCCCGAGTGGTGCACCGCCTGTCTGTCCTCGATCTCCTCTTCAACACCAACCCGGAATGCGGCGGTCTTTTTTCTCCCAAGGGAAGGGAGGACGATTGCCGACGCGTTCTTGAGGACGGCTGCCGACGCGGTGTTCGTCCATTTCCCGCGACTTCTTTCGCAATGATCTTGATCTTGCCGCCACATTGGAGAAGCGTCACGCAAAATGTCGCGCTGATGTCGCCACGCTGGCGACACGTCGCACAAACGGACACCCGCTCCCCTCCTCCTCCTCCAAGACGATGCCGGCGAAGACAACTTAATCGACTCCGCCGCCTCCGGCTGCCCGGGAGACGAACATTTCATCACCTCAGCAGCAATCATGCAAGTCGTTTGTAAGGCGTTATCGTACAATTCATCCCCTAGACAACCCTTGCCGTACATCAGAAATCGACGAAAAACACCCACCTTCTCCATCACCCCACAGCAGCAATCGTATGCCATTCGACGGATACTCTCGCCGCATGCAGCAGCAGATAGAGAGCCCGCAAAGTCTGCAGCACCCTCCTCTATCACCCATTCCATCAGTCCGTCCACTAACCTCACCGCTTCTGGACTTTCTTGAGCCCATAAGCTCCCCATTAGCTTCACAAGCACCCAATTCAACTCAGCTACATCGCGCGAACGAACTGCTCGCTCTATTCTATCTATAAGTTCCCTCACTGCCGGATCTACCGAAGTCTCCATACATCTCCTCTTATGGCGCACAAGCACCTGCTCCTCCATTTCAACATCGACATTGAACAACCTCCGCCGACGTTTCCTCCCCATCTCTCCAATCCATGCCATCCCTCCTCTACGATCGTGTCACTACTCTACAGAAATAGGGTGACCGTGCAGAGTTCCGTAGTCGGTCCGTCACCGACTCGTCATCAAGTTGCGCAAGTGCGCGTGCTGGCGCGGGCGGGCCGCGGGTGTGCGTGCGAGCGCAAGTGTATGTGAAATATATCGCATGTGTATCAGCAGGTTAGACGCTGTGAGGAACTCTGAATCTCATAATAGCGTTACTTTTTACGATGAAGAAGTCGAGACGGATTGGTCGGTAATCAAGGAGAACCTCGGCGGAATCTCAATGCTTGAGGGAATGGAGCAGCAACGTTCGAGACGGATGGGTCGGTAATCAAAGGGGAAGTCGCTTCATCTAAAGAAGGGCCAATGTCACCGGTACTGCCAGGTTGGTATCAGGACTCCAGTCGCCACCTAAGGCCCACCTTCTCTTCTATTTAGCCCCCCCCTACTGTATGCTACAGATCCCTTTCTCCATCTTGTCCCTCCATCTGGGGAACCAGGGGAAGTAGTAGCTTTATCTAAACAGGCACCAACGCCGCCGGAATCTGGGGCACTAACTTCTGTTCTCTACTGCCCTGCGTGTCGTATTTCCCTTTCTCCCACTTTTTACTCTATCTTGTCACTCGATCTGGAGAACCAGGGGAAGTAGTAGCTTCATCTAAACAGGCACCAACGCCGCCGGAATCTGGGGCACTAACTTCTGTTCTCTACTGCCCTGCGTGTCGTATTTCCCTTTCTCCGACTTTTTACT